GAAATTCTTATTAACTACAGTCTCATACTTTTAAGCAGTTTAAATAATCTCTTCCTTGGTATTTATCTTCTTTGCCCAGATGTGAAGAAAGAAATCCCTTGAGATTGATTCCTTTCTTTATTAGAACCTCTTTTTTTAACATCTCAAATTCCAAATATGCTTCATTGTTTTTCAATCCTATTTACAGGAGCAAAATACAGGTTTTATCTGTTTTACTGTTTCAAAAAAGTACCCTATTAACCAAGAATCTATTACTAGTAAAAGAAAATCTATTACTAGAAAAAGACTCTTATTCATTATTTCCTCTCTGATAACATACTGTTGATTCTCCACCAAATACTTCAGTTAAAGTCAGTCATACGTGTTTTTAATACAGTCAAAACTTAGTATGTAACAACATACACACTACAGTTTATAAAGTCTTCAGCCGGTGATGATAGTATTAATTATATTATTAGAAATTTAATCATTTCCTACTTTAACTAAACATTTAATTACTCCCAACCAAAAATTCATGAGAGAATGACCTAGTTTGAGAAATAAGCCTCTTTTTAGTAACAGTTATATAGATGAATATTGCTGTTTGCCATAACCCACAATTCCATTTGGTAGGATTTAGGTTTTGTTTGCAATAGTGATTTGCCTACTTAATGACATCAAGTCTCAAAACAAAGATATATATTTATATATCCTTATCAGTAAATGGGCTTTTCAGAAAGCAATACTGACACTTATACAAGGATAAGCTAAGGAATGAAATGAAAAAAATGCCTGAACAATTCCAGAGTTATAAAGATTATCATCTCCTTGGCTTAGAACTTATGTTTTTAATGTTTGTCAATGACTTTATTTTGAATGACTGAATATTCTCTACATGTGACTATTTTTGGTGTTTTAGTTTACAATTAGTCATATCTAATCTCTATTATCTAGTTCATATTTGTTTTAATTTTTTACTGATTAAAAATATATATCTTGGGACAATTAAAATGTTACTACTAGAAAAAAAAATGTGATTTTAAAATGTCCTTTCCTAAAAATTTGCATCTTTTTTTTCATCCTTGCCACTCTTAGTGAAAATTTAGTAATGCATTATCATCTTAGGTAAGTGCTTTGTTACCTAACATTAGCAATGGCCAGCTATTATGATATTAAATAGTCAAAGGAATATAATCTATCTCATTCAATATTACATATTTACATACACACACACGTATTCATTATTTTCCTGATGTTTCCTTGAAGCTTTTATACAGGTAGTTCAAAGTGTGGTCCCTGAAAATAGCTTCTTTAGAAATATAAAAAAGTAGGTGAAAAGTGACACATTTGAAATATAGTGAGCCTATGTAATTGTTAAATTGTTAATACTGGCTGTAAGTATAATTACTACTGAAGCTGTCAAAAAAAATAAAAACTTGAATCTACCCCACATCTTGTTTCTAGTTTCAAAAGCAGCAGATTCTTATTTGCCTCTTGTTATTCAGCACCACATTACCTTTAGTCTCTGTTATAAATAGCGACAGAAGTAGAGAACATTAGAAATAGCACATTAAAAATTAGACTTTAGGTGACCAAATAACATAACCTTCATTTCTAGCAAATCAACATAAGATAGTTACCAATATATTCTTCATAGAAATGGACAATAATCTTAAAAATAAAATGTATTCATGATAACTTATTTTTATATACGTAATGTTCCCATTTTCCTGATAAAAAATAGTATAACTAAAATATCCATGTTATATTAATTATCATAATCTGGTTTCCAAGTCCTGAATGATTCAAGACAATCAAGCAAAAAAGAAATGCCTTTGCTATATATTTTTCTACCACTATTCTTTCAAAATTCTAATAGTTCATTTGATGAGAAGTTTCAAGAGACCGCGTATATTTGCCAAATTCACAGCTGAGATGATTACAAAAACATCCAGAAAATGAAAAGTTTCAAAGTATAAATATTATCTTTCAACAGATAATCAAAAATGTCATAAAGAAGTCAATTAAAGACTTAAGAAATGACAACACAATTTCATCAAAATACTAACACACTGTAAAATGTGTGCATGGATAGCCAGTACTTTCCACTACCTCTGTAAAACAGATTTAGATAAAATATTTAAAATCCCCATTATGAAGCATGCAGAGAATATTTTACAAAACAAGCCCTCCACCTTTAAGACAGCCACAAATCCTAACTCATAAAATCACAGTTTTAAGTGTGGCCTCTTAATACGATTTTTCTTAAGTATGAAATCATAGTACTTAAGTTTAGTAAAGAATGATTTACATAGTAAAACTACAACACTTGAAATTCATTAATACACACAATTGCCCAAGATAGCTTCATTTTTATAGGTTTTTTTTGTGTGTGTGCAAAAATCACAAGAATGTGAAGACCATGAAGTGTTAATCTGTTTGTAATAAAACCCATTATTTGCGCACTGAACACTGGTGCTTTTTCCCGATTCTTCTCCATGTTTCCAGGCTTCATCACAGTAGATAATATTTATATCAATAACTTTTCAAGTAAACCTCAGTTATTTCTGACTTCAAAAATCTATTTTATCATGAAATCCTATTATCCTCTGTGACTTCTCCCGAATCTGCAACTTCCTTTTCATTCCTCCAACTACATCCTTATTCCTGAACCTAGACTTTATTCCCTACTGTACCTCATTCTCTTAAGACAGCTTTGCCAGGTTGTCTTTAATTCCACTGTGATGGAATTATCTTCTCCCCTTGACATTTTTGCCACTGCCACCGACCTATTTCCACCTGAGCTTTTCAAGGCCTTTGCAAGACATTTTTATTCTGCTCAAGAGCCTCATCCTCACCAACATATTCATTTGTAAGGTTGCCACTGACTTTCAGCTCCCCTTGAAAATGTCAATTTCCTCCTTACCGTGGTCAATATAACAAATTTCCCTTTAGATAACCACATCTGCTCCTAATCTATCTGAGTATGTAATGCATTTACATTCCTCAAATGCACAAGTAATTTACTTGGACAGTTTTAGCACAATAATTACAAACTTTTTTAGTTGCTTGCCTACCAATGTTATTCCTACTGTACTGTGGGTACGCAGGTAAGGTCTGCATCTTTCAAAGCATTGTGTAAAACACCTATCTACTATGCCACTTGCCCTGGGTAAGATGACTCACAAAATAAAAATACTAAGGAAAGCTTAAATTAAAAAAACAAACAGAGTCTTTTTTTTAAATCTTTCCGGTTGAACTTTAAAACATCTATGACCTTTCATTTCCATGGATAGCTGACTTACTTTGGTTTCTATTAGGCTTTACTCTTACTACTTTGTATTATTACAAATTTGAAAGCATGGCTAGGATTTAAAGCGTAAGTTGAGGACTAGTATAGGGTATACACATTTACACCGCACGATTAAACTACTTGAAAAATCAGCAATGTCAACTTTAAGAATTCAGAGATACAAAAGGATCTTCAAACAAGACAACAGCTTCAGCGCCAAAAGAGAACAGCGCATTTTCTGATGGAGGGCGGGGGAAGGGAGAGGGGAGTTCCCGTCCCTGCAACTGGTTTAGACTAGTTTCTCTATCCCAAGGGCTTTCTATTAGAAGTCAGTAAATCACTATTAACATCTGGAAAGAATACCAGGGAAAGGCAACCTATTCACTTAAATGAGAGGAAGGGGTGACATGGATATCTCTTTTCGTAAAACTCAGCAGCCGCATTAAGCTTTGTAGTATCCACCAAAAGACATTTCTTTCTACCTAATAAAAGCAAGTCCCACTCAATTTAGTCCCTTACCGAGCACCGTCTCAACCTGTCAGAATTTGACAAGGGAAAAATGTTTAAAAGAAAGGGGGGCGGGGGAGACACTAGGATTCCCGTCGGCATAGTTTCTTTATACGAAATCATTTCAGTAAATCCTGGATTTCCTTCACTCCTAAATAAGCCCTCAGATCCCAAATATAGTTCTTTAACCCCCGCCTTGCCACTGAATTACACGCAAACCTTGCCAACTACAGAACACAACAGAAACCCCTACAAATCGGCTTGGTATTCATCTCGGAAGTCATGCCCTGCAGCAACTGCCTGTCGCCAAACTGAGAGATATTACCCAACTACAACGCAACAGAATCAGACATGCAGAGCACACACCGCTTCCGCCAGCGAGCGAAACGCGACCCAAGAAAAGTGCGCTCCTCACAAGCCCCGGGACCGTTGGCGGCGTGGAGGGGAGGGGGGCTAGGGGGGTGTTCCCAGATAGGAGGGGGGAAGAGGAGACTGAGTCGGGGAATCCTTCTCTCTTAAGTAAAAAGGCCTGGATCCCCAGCCCCAGGCTGCAGCCATTCCCTGTGAAGAAACGAACAGGCGGGCAGAGGGCCCTATGCTCGGGAAGGCGAAATGCAGACACTTGCCGTGGTCCGGGTGCAAGCCGATCCCCCACTTCCCGGGGGAGATGAGGGGTGTCCCATGGGTGATGAGGGAATACCCGGCTCGCCAGGGGCAGCTCGAGGCAGAGCAGAGTTTCGCCTGATGAACACCCGGGTGGTGGTCCGGCCGGCGCGGGGGTCAGGCTCCGCCAGAGCGGCGCGGGGCCGCTGGGCTTGGGGGAGGGGATGGAGGGGGTGGAAACGGGATTCCCCCTCTCGGACAGCACTAGCGGAGGCAGCGCGCTTCTGACTGCGGAGCCGGGATCCCGCCGCCTGCACCGGCAGCAGGGAGCCCCGCAGCGCCCGCCGCACCAGTTCCTTGCTCCCAGGGGGCCAGGGACTTCGTCCAGTAAGGCACTGGGGCCTGATGTCCCAAGGGGTCGGCCTCAGCCCCCGGGGACTCCGCGGGAACACCCCAGCCTCCAGCAGCTCTCAGAGGTGGTAAAACACCAGCTAGCCCAGTCCCCCTCCTCAGCCTTCCCTCCTCCCGAGGCCGCAAAGAAGGGTCAACAGTCAAGAAGCCCAAGGCAAGTCGGGGACGGCGGCCGCGGCTGTCCCGGATCTCCTCCGCCCCCGGTTACCTGTGAGGACTCCGACACGGATTTGATGGTCGTGGTTGGTGAGGATCATTCCCTCGGTCGCCATGTTTCCCAGCGCAGTCACTGCACTGACAGGAGCCGGGAGAAGCCGGAGTCTGGAGCGCGCGGGCCGGGAGCGCGCTCGCCTCAGAGAGCGCGGAGTGGGCGGGGGAGGCGACCAAGGGCTCGGAGGCCTGTGTGGGATAAAGGCCCGGCCGGGAGCGCGCGAGTCCGCGGGAGTGGGCGGAGTCAGGGCGCGCGACCCCGAGTCCGGGTCGGAGGCCGCTAGCTGCGGGGCTCGGGGGCGCGGTGACCGCACGGGGAGACCGCGCGGAGGCGTCTGAGCAGAGCCTGGGCCGCTAGATGGCTGGAGCCTGAGGGGGAAAAGAGAGCACACGCTCCGGAGGTTTGCGGGGGCGGACTCGGGGACGGGGCGGAGCTACACCCCGAGGCGTGGAACTCGTGGAGAGTGAGGGGAGGTGTGAGAGCCCGGGTGCGGAGGGCTGCGAGCGGGAAGGGACCGGCCCAGCCCGGGGAGGACCAAAAAACGCTCCGGGACGCCCGAGGAGAGCTGGATTGGCTGGGAGAACGCGGAGCGGGTGCGCGCGAGACACGAACCTGCTTCAGCCGAACCCAGACAGAAGCAATCCCCTGCCGAATCGGGCACCTAGCGGTAGTCAGCGCCGCTGGCCGGCTCTCCGGGCCGCGGAGACGCTCTCCCTAGGTGCCCGGGGAAGAAGGGCGTCGCACGCGGGGCCTCTCTTTGCAACCCTCCCGAGCAGCCTCCAGAGAAACTGGAAGTGGCTTAGAAAGCTTCGCGGGTGTCAGTCAGGACGACGGCTGCTGTGATAGAGCCCACCGTGGGCGAAGAGGGAGGTATCCTGGCCCCCCTCATCCGCTCGCTTCCTCAAGTGAGCCAGCCCCGCGGGAGGATTTCAGCTTCTCCCGTGCTTAAGGATCCCATCTCCAAGTCTGTATCAATAGCATGAACCTCACAAGCGAAGCTTAGGAATCTGCGGTATCGTGAGTGAGGATATCTGGCTTCTCTTCCACCCGCGGGTTTTCAGCCCTTCAACTTCATTTCCACTCACAGTCTCTGCTTTTAGATGAAAGCACTAATCTTAGAGAATGAGAAGAACATATTCCTCCCCACAATCACAAAACTGGAAATAGAACCCAGGCCGTGGCAATGGAGTTCCATTTCAGTATTTGTGGGATATGAGATTACCATGAAAACAGCTTTTGTTACCTATTCTTTTCATATGTCTCATAAAATGTTATTCATCACCTGTGACTATTTCACATCAATTTCTTAGTTCCTTTCTTTCTAGCCCTATATACTTATGAATTTAAAAACATATACACACATACGTTTATGTATTTTTTTTTCCTTTTTTTCTGTCATGATAAAACCTGGAAAGCGTAAAAATGAAAAGCAAAGTGTCAAAGATGTATAATCATGAACGTTTTTACACAATTAAAATCTCAGTTAATTTGATGGTTATGAGTGTTTTATTGTTCCTGTTAGAAAACAGACATTCATCCTGTAACTGAGCATTTACATCATATGTATTTCATTTTATATAACGGGAGTACAGAAGAGATGATGGATGGATTTGAGGTGGGCTAAAATAAGTGAGTAGAATTTCGATTGTGTATTGCTAGTATTTTTGACAGTGGATTAAAAATTGAAGCCAGGTCATGAACCCACATCCTATAATAATCTATCATCATAGAGCCTGGTGGCAAACGGATACTTAACTAGTTTAAAATGAGAGATACGTATGTGAAAGTATGTCCAAGAGAATGTTTTCCTTTATCTCAAACCAAAGATGGAAGAGTAAGTAGTTGGTTACACTATTACCTTTCTAACTTATCTTTATTCCCTGCAGTACAAATTTGAAATGATTAAAAAGTGTCCTGAATTTTTAGAGAAATTCGAATCCTGTGCACTGATAGGTTCAATAAGTTTAAACAAATTTGGGCCTTTTTCATCCTTTAAGGTGGTAGACTAAGCACCTTTTAAGTGGTAGACTAAATAAGCACCCTTTCAACTTAGAGTATTCTATAATTATTCATGGAAAGAAATAGTCACTTTAGTTCCACAAATAAAATAACTAAAAACAAGGAACTTTGGATCTATAAAAGTAGAAATGGTGAAATTCATTAAAGTTTTATTGGGAAGGGTGAATATGAATTAAGCCTTCCAAAATATATGGAGGTTTGTTTGCTAAACTTACTAAAGTTGATGAAAAAAGTAATAATAATTGAAATGAACTGGACAACTATAAAAGATGTTTGTCTTGGAACAATTTTCTTAGTGTATTCATCTCTGCTGAATGTAGCAAGCTGTAACAAAATATACGGAGAAAAAATCCAGTGAGCTTTACTGTCTAATATGACCTTTTCTTTTACATATGGTGAGGAAGGAGAGAACTAGAAGTGAAAAAGTTGAAACTTTGTACATAAAGAATTAGAAGTGCCCAGAGATTTATTCTTGCCATTCTTAAAGGTTTGTTTGTTTGTTTTTAATTCCTGTTGGAAGAATATGTATTTCTTAGAACTTTAAAAAATATTTTAATTGAATAATTGACATACAATATTGTATTTCAGTTGCACAACATAATGATTCGATATTTACATATATTACAAAATGGTCACACAATAAATCTAGTTACCACCTGAAACTATGAGTTGTTAAAAGTATTGACTGTATTCTCTATCTTATACATTACATCCCTGTGTCTTATTTTATAACTGAAGTTTGAACTTCTTAATCCTTTCAGTTATTAAGATTTAATAATGAAAACTACAGTTGACATTAACAGAATTAACATAAAAGATAGATAAACTTCTGGCTTTCATAACAGTTTTCATTATGATGATGAAATTAGTAGAAATGAATTAATAAATGATTGCTTTTTTTTCAGTAATGGTGTATTTACACTTAGCCCTCCTGGTACTTTAGTTTCCTGTGGTCAATCACAATTTCAGTTAAGTAAGGCAAAAGCTTACTGGCTTTTCAAGGGTCAGTCTCTCTCTCATTAGCACTAGATTATTCTTCCTCTAAGGTTTACTCCACTCTTGCCTCTTTTCTGATAGGCTAAAGGCCACAACTAAAGCGAAGTCAGTTAGTGGGTGCAAGCAACATTTTGAATATACTTAATGCCACTGATTTCTACACTTTAAAATGGTTAAAATGGTAAATTTTGTGATGTGCATTTAGGATAATTTTTTTTTTAATTAGTGTAACATGAAGCTCTGGTAGATTTTCTCTAAGGGAATCTTGATTATCATCAAGATGAATTTTACACTGAATTAGGCAGTGTATTACTTCCTAGGACTGTCTTAACTAAGTACCACAAAGTGGGTGACTTAAAATAACAGAAATGTATTCTCTCTGCTGGTTCTGTAGGCCAGAAGTCTAAAATTAAAGTGTCGGTAAAGCCATGCTTCCTTTGAAGGCTCTAGGGAAGAATTCTCCCTTGCCTCATTCTAGCTTCTGGTGCTTGCTGGCAATCCTTAGCATTCCTTGGCTTATAGCTGCATTACCCGAATCTTTGCCTCTATCTGTACATGGAATTCTTCCTTGTGTGTATTCTCACTTGCCTTTCTTACAAGGTTATCCTTCAGTGGATTTAGGGCCCACTGTAATCAGTATGATCCCTATCTTAACTAATTAACATCTAAAAGACTCTACTTCACATTCTGAAGTTCTCAGTGGATGAAATTTGAGGAGACATTATTCAATTCAGTACAGGCCATACTAGATTACATTATTGGGAATATCCATGAAACATATAAATTAGAAATTCAATCTATTAGAAACAAAGGTTCAAAGGTTTCTTAAAAGCTGGTATTTAGAAATTAGACATAGTCTTAGAGAAAATAAAGCTTCATAGAATAGAGAATACTGGGGAAATGTTTAATATTTGACCTAAGTAGCTTAATGCTTTCCCCACAGAAGTAGTTTTCTGAATTAGAACTTACCAAAGTCTGGAGAGAGAAATTTATTCATTCTTACTTAATGAAATTGACATTTTCCTTTTAGTTTTGGTACGCTTGTTACCTTTTAGTGAAGTTGAGCCATCTCAGTTGCCCATGGAGTTTGACTGCACTTCTTTGAGAACAACTAGGACAATGCTTCCAAAGTCTGCCATGTTTACTAAAATAAATGTGAACTTTTCCTTGGACTTTTGATACTATATTTATGCTGCCCAGATTGCTGCTTGAATAATTTTTTTGTGCCCTGGTCTTTTGTATTTTTCCCACTCTTTCTTCCTCTGAAGTTCCCAACTGGAAATCCAGGTGTTTGAGGATGCTTTTGCTTGCAAGTGACTGATCCTACTTTAAACCAAAAGGAATTCACTGGCTTATGTAGCTAGGAAGTCCAGACATGAGTATAGTTTCAGGGTTGACTAGACTCAGGGTCTGAAACCATGTCATTAAGATGTCATCTTTTAGGTATGCTTTCTTCTTCGTTGACTTAACTTCCACACTGGCTTCTCCTACATGGTAGCAAAGATGGTACTGGCTTCTTGAGGCTATAAATTAAATCAGTAGTTTTTCAAGCCCATCTAGGGAGACATGGAGACCCCAAGACCCTTTCAAAAGATCTGCAGGGTCAAAAATATTTTTATATAATGCCTAATACTAAGGTATTATTTGTCTTTCCACTTATTTTCTCATTAGATACAGTGGAATTTTCCAGAGCTACATGATATATAATATCATTCTGATAGCTAATGGAATGTGTGTGTTTGTATATTTTTTAAATTTTTAGTAAAGTAATTATCAACAGCTAAAACTTACTTAAACCAAAGCTCTTTGGGATCCTCTATAATTTTTAATTGTGTAAAAGGGTCCAGAGACCAAAATCTCAACAACCGAAAATTTTGGTCACATCTTTATCCCCAAGGACTTACTAACGCAAGGGGAGTGGCATTTTCTGATTGGTTAGGCCTCAGCTATGTATTCATGGGAATGGGGATCATTCCAGAGGGTGGGAATCAGCTGCACCCCACAGAAAGTCTAAGATCAAGGGAGGATGGATGTAGTGCCTTAATAGGTTAGCACTTAGTTCAACTCTCCTATAGATTGTTCACCATTACTATAGGTTTTTTCTTTTCTGAGGGCTCTAATTTACACTTTTAATACCACCTGCATCATCTCATGTTAATATTCAGAGGATAAAGAAGCTCTTCCTGGTATGTCCTGACAATTTACAAATGTACAAGGTCACCACTTATTTATATGGCTGCTTATCTGATGAAAGGAGGAAACCAGGAGCAAAAGTTTGATTTCTAAAGAAAGCACTTGTTTTTCTTCCTTGTTAATTCAAAGAACGGTTAGTCTACAGGCGAGGAGGACAGTATTTCTAGAAGAGGAGATGA